GCGCTTCACAAGCCGGTTCTGGCAAGAGGTCATTAAGACACTCGGAACGAAACTCAAGATGTCGTCTGCGTTCCACCCGCAAACGGATGGACAGACAGAGCGGACCAACCGCACTCTTGAGCAAATGCTTCGTTCTTTCATAAGCCCAACTCAGGACGATTGGGATGAATTGTTGCCAGTCGTGGAATTCGCTGTAAACAATTCTGTGCATGAAAGCACCCATGAGAAACCCTTTGTCCTGAACTGTGGTCGGCACCCCACAACCCCCGCGACGCATGGGATTAAGAACCTCAAAATCCCTGCCGCAAAGGACTTTATTGGAAAACAGCAAGCGACATTGAAGTCCGCTCGCCATTGGCTGCAGCTTGCCCAACAGAGGCAAAAGTCCTATGCCGACATGAAATGCCGGGAAGTCGTCTTTGCAGTTGGCGACAAAGTATTACTGAGTACGAAGAACATTCGTCTCAAGATCCCGGGAGCACGAAAGCTTTTCCCTCGTTGGATTGGGCCCTTCGAGGTGATTGCGCGTGTTGGTGATGTCGCATATAGGCTCAAATTGCCTGCGACATTGCAGATTCACAACGTCTTCCACGTGTCTCTGTTGAATAAGTACGTTGCAGAAGGCAAGTACTTACCGCCACCAACCATCGCTCTCGAGAAGGAACTCTTTTATGAAGTCGAGCGTGTGCTAACGCACCGTGATCGACAACGCGGCCGCAAAACTGTTCGTGAGTTCCTAATTCAGTGGAAAGGCTATGGGCCGGAACACAACTCTTGGGAGCCTGAGGAACACTTGACCGAAGCAGCGGTTCAAGCGTATATGGAAGACCTGGCTCTACGAGCAGGCCCACAACCAGTGGACGGGGTTGACCCTGGTCGTAATGTGGTGCGCCGTGCTCGAAGCACTCGTCCTCAGAAGCACCCTAGGGCAACGGGGACGTTGCCACCTGGGGGGGGAGGAGTGTAACGTATTACCCTAACTACCGAGCTAACAACCATCGATCTCTCTCTAAGTCAATTGTTGAGAACTTCTCTCGACAAAGGAAGAGTTGGAGAAGATGGTTGAGTTGGTTGGGATGAAGCTTGGTTTGGGTTTGCCAAGCCTCAACTTTGGAGGTTTGGAACATTTCCAACTCAACCAAGAGAATGTTGAAGGTTGGAATTCCAACCAATCAGAAACTGCCAAACAAGTGTTACAATCTACTCTATCCTAAACACAACCATTGAATGGTTCTAAGTTGGGTTTTCCAACCCAACACAATTGCCACATAGGCTCCAAGCCTAGGAACCATCCCACCATGGAAACCATGGTTGGGATAGTTCCCCAAGGGGTGTATTGAGGGGGTCTGAGCTAAGCAAGCTCATTCTCAACCTCCCACTCCAACAAAACAATTGGAAATGGGATTGTTTCTCTAAGTCCTTTTGGGCTCTCTCACAAGTCTCCCTACACTACTACTCCAAGTGCTTTTCATCAAAGGCATCAAGAAGATCTTCATCTCCAAGGCTATTAAGGCTAGTTAAAGCTACTATTTTGTATTGGAATATTATAAAAGCCTTGTAACCGCCATTATTATAGCCCTGGGCATTACACGCGGTGTCCTCCCTCATGGCACTTCCACGCCGCCCCCTCGTGCGTCGCTCGCTGCTACTACTGCCAGTCATAGGAACGTCTCACCACTGGTAGTCAAATGTTTCCTATTCGCGTTCTTCTAAATGTTATTTCTACCATTCATGCGGCCCTTCAGGTGTTGCGGTTCCCATTCTCTCCACGTCTGCATCATCCGATGATGAATCATTATCATCCATCGCGACATTGAACCGGCGACTGCTCAACGGCAACGTTTCGGCGTCCGCGGCTCAGGCCAAGCCCTCGGTGTGGAAAGGAAAGACACTGGGTAAGTCCGCAGAGCGTTGTTGTTGTTGTTGTTGTTGTTGTTGTTGCTGCTGCTGCTGCTGCTGCTGCTGCTGCTGCTGCTGCTGCTGCTGCTGCTGCTGTTGTTGTTTGTTTGTTTGTTTTTTTTTTTTCCTGCCTTTTCTTTTTCTTTTGCATTCCAAAAGTGCGTGATTCAAACGATCATGTCCATGTGACATGGACCTTCGGCGAGTTGCATGACATGTCCCCGATCCGTTGTTTGACACTTTCACTGAGAGTTGCACTGCACTGCACTGCATGACACCAAAAGCTTGCATTGCATTGCAAAGCTTTTGGCCTTTTCACCCAAACTTCTGGGCCTTCCTTCGCGCGCAATGACACGTATATGCGGTACCGCCGCTATGATTTTGCCGGCTCCCTCTCCGCCGCTCAGCTAAAAAACCCTTATAAATGTGAAAAGGAAATTAATGCTACAGTGAGCAAGTGTTTGTGCCAGCAAGGCGTGTCGTGCCAGCAGGGCGTGTCGTGCCAGCAGGGCGTGTCGTGCTGGAAGGGACGTTCATTACGCAGGGTTGCTTGTAGTGCTAGGACTTTCAAGGTCATTCCCTATGTCCTTACCCCATGTCCTTCCCCCATGCCCTTCCCCCATGCTCTTCCCCCATGTCCTTCCCCCATGCGCCCCTATCCCCGCGGCTCTTCTCTTCGCCAGTGAAGCTCGTTGCCAAGCTTCGTCCCGCCAAGATCAATGGCAAGCTGGTGGGCGACAAAGGAGCATCCGGGATAGTAGTTGCAAAGATTAAGAGGTAAGATACGGTAGTGCGATATTGATCTGCTGCTGCCATGCCAATAGCCGTTCGATTCGACTCAGGCTACTCAGCCGTTCGATTGAGTAAGAATGGGACCCTGGTTTGTGTATTTGTGCTCTTGAACGGATGGCTCCTTAGAATCCCCATCCCCACCTACCTCGTCCCGCACCCACTGCAATTCCCACAACCCCTCCCTCCTCTCATCCTGTCCCTCCCGTGCGGCCTTCTTTCTCCTCTCATCCTGCCCTGTTGGCAGGTTCTCGAAAGCAGCATACTATATCTTGGTCAAAGCTGTGGCTTTGAGAGTGAAATCCGGAGGCGCGGAACCCTTGACGGGCCAAGCAAGTTCGTTCAAGCCGATAAAACAGGCGACTGGAGGTGTGACGTGGTTCAATGTCACCAGCGACAAGGATGGAAGGAGCGAACGCTACAGCTTCAGGGGCACACTGCAAGTCGGGCCGCTTACTGCGGCACATGCACGTACGGCGATGAAAGGGGTTGCGCTTGTGGGCGAGACTCATATTATCTTCCATGATAAGAACACTCTGGCTCTCTGCGGGAAGATGGTTAGGAAGGTGTGATCGCTTGCTGTTGATGCGCCTCAAAAGGCGAGACCCATACAATCGCCCATGCTAAGAATAGTCTGGCTCTCTGCGGGAAGATGACTAGGACGGTGTGATCGTTTGCTTGCTTCGATGATTAACTTTTGGATTCACTTCGAAAGTGGAAGGAAGAGAGAATGGAGCGAGAATATGATGTGATTTTTGCAGATGATTTTTCAGCCAACTATGGTACATTTGCTGCTGCATGCATACATACTACTACCACACATGCACCCATATAGACATGAATGGAGGGGGTCCTCCCCCTTCCTCCTCCCTCCCTTCCTTGCTCCCACATACATGCATGATGCACAGCATACAAATTGATATTATCGCCCTCCGCATGCACACACCAACTCATTCACCCACGCACTATCACACGCACATGTACCCTCCCCTCCCTCCCCCCTCACTCACCCCTCTCCTCCACACGCACACACCCCCCCCCCCCACACACACGCCATGCCTCCCACCCACCACTCATGAACAGCCCTTGTGAAGTGCGAAAAGCACCATAATCCCGAAGTGCCATTGTGAGGCGCAAAGCAAAGGTGCCTCAAAACCCACACTCACTTACCTGGTGCATGAAGTGCCCATTTTGGTCCCATTTGCCGCATTGTGACCAGGCTACCAGCACCCACCCGGTTCGTTTCGTGCAGTGCCGTTACGGAAACCTGATCATTACATGCACGCCCGCACACACCAGGTTCGTGCAGTGGATGGTGCGACCACTGCGTTGTCAGGACCAGCGCTGCTGCCACCTGCACAGCACACACGCAACAGACACGGTGTGATTCATTCCCTCCATGGCTCATGGCATTGCTCATGGCATTGCTCATGGCATTGAGTGACGGGTGGGGAGTGGTGCAAGGAGTGAAGGGTGGGGAGTGGGGAAGAAGGGTGGGTGGAAATGTCGAGGCGGGTCGAAAGTGGGAAATTGGAAAGTGAGCGGCAAGTAGAGCAGCGGAAAATGACGCATCCCATCCCATCCCATCCCATCCCATCCCATCCCATCCCACCCATCCCATCCCATCCCACCCATCCCACCCATCCCATCCCATCCCATCCCATCCCATCCCATCCCATCCCATCCCATCCCATCCCATCCCATCCCACCCCACCCATCCCATCCCATCCCATCCCATCCCATCCCATCCCATCCCACCCATCCCACCCATCCCATCCCATCCCATCCCATCCCATCCCATCCCATCCCATCCCATCCCATCCCACCCCACCCATCCCATCCCATCCCATCCCATCCCATCCCATCCCATCCCACCCATCCCACCCATCCCATCCCATCCCATCCCATCCCATCCCATCCCATCCCATCCCACCCCACCCATCCCATCCCATCCCATCCCATCCCATCCCATCCCATCCCATCCCATCCCATCCCAACCCATCCCATCCCATCCCATCCCATCCCATCCCATCCCATCCCATCCCACCCATCCCACCCATCCCATCCCATCCCATCCCATCCCATCCCATCCCATACCATACCATACCATTCCGCTCCATTTCCCCCTCTCTTCCCCCCACTCCCCCTCCCCCCGGCCATCACCTCTGTGATGTGCAGCACCACGTGGTCTCGCCTCAGCAGCTTCCCCAGCAGCAGCGGCGCCCCATACACTCGCACCAGACATCACCCCCACACTCGCTACCCTCCACACCCTACCCCCCCCAGTGTAGCGCACCTCTGTGATGCGCAGTATGACGTGGTCTCGCCTCAGCAGCTTCCCCAGCAGCAGCGACGCCAACTCCTCAGCAGGGCGGCAGCAGAAGGACGCGGGAAGACGCGTGTATGAGGCGCCGCCAGAGTTGCCCCGTGAGGGGCTGGAGGCGCAACCTTGGGGGAAGCTACGGGCGCAGGCTTGGGCACAGGTACGGGGGCCGGCGGAGGGAGGGGAGGCGGAGGGAAGGGAGGCGGAGGGGAGGGAGGCGGAGGGGAGGGGAGTGGGGAGAGGAGAGAGGGTGGGAGAGTGGGGCGAGGAGGAGAGGGAGGCGGCGTGTGGGGTAGGAGTTGAAGGTGGGATGGGGAGAGGCGTGATCTGGCGAGGAGTGGGGGGAGAAAGGAACGTGGGGGAGGAGGAGGAGGAGGAGGAGGAGGAGGAGGAGGAGGAGGAGGAGGAGGAGGAGGAGGAGGAGGAGGAGGAGAATGAGGGAGGGACGCAGCAAGGAGACTCTCTCGTGCCTTTCTTCTTCTGCTCCGCAGCTTCGCCAGAGCTCCGCCTCTCACTGCCACAACTCCTGTCAACCCCGCTCGATGGAACCTCAGCTTCCCACTGCGTTGTCAGGGCCAGCGCTGCTGCCACCTGCACACACGCAAGAGAAGACAGCGTGAACAAGGCTCTAAGCTCTAGGTGCGGAGCTCTAAGTGAGAAATGTTACCTATCTAAACTACTTCTGAATGTAGGTAATATCATTGTTTGGAGGAATGAGGCTCTTCTTTTTTCCACCCGAAGCCTGAAGCATAAAGGGCCGAGTTTTGGCCCAACCCTGCTAAATTTAGGGTCGTACATGACGGGTCCCCTGATTTGTCCAGGTACCCCAAATCCAATCGACAGCCCTGGAACCAAGAGTTGAAATGGAAATAATTGCGCGACGCGTCCGTTTTCGAATTTTCCTCAATCTTGTAGAGTACCCACACACCACGTTCCCCCCTTTCTGATATCTCTCAATCCCGTGGAGTTCCACATGCGCTTTCGCGATATGTTTATACTTCTTCAGGAAAGAGTGATGGGATATTTCTGTTGGAAGTTACGTTCTCACACCAGGCATGGTTTGCCCTACAATGTCAGTTTCTTTTTAACTTTTTGGTTTATTACGGGGTACAGTGCCGTCTAATTTGTCTCTTGTTCAGGTGCGCGAATCCATGCGTGTCGTTAGGATTGGTCCACATGTAATGTATTAATGCGATTTTTCTCTTTAGTCGGTGTGTAATGATTGCGCGGTGCAGTTGTCGTTACACTGATGTAAGCGGCCATTGAAATATCTGGTTTAGGGTGTCAGCGGGACAGCATGTGTTCGTCATTTGGCGCCATCGATGCTGCTTTTTTAGCCAATTAGCGCATACCATTTGGCGCTCGCGTCAGGACTCTGTGCATGCACTCACCCGATCTATGCAGAGTTCCAATCCTTTGAAGTTTCGCCCGTGAATGTCCCGTCAACTCCACCTCCCACGATGCTCTTGTGGTTCTCGCTTAGGGTTTCCGTGAAGGAGGCTTACTTTCTGGTTCATAGTCACTCATCTATTTCGTGACTCCCACTCCGAGGTTTACTTTCTGGTTCATAGTCACGCATCTTATTTCGTGACTCCCACTCCATTCCTTTTCTCACGCACCCGCTGCGCGAGTTTTTAGTGAAGCCCGAGTTAGTGGTTAGTTGGCTTTCATAAGCATGTCTCAACCAGCTAAGATATTCACTCGAAACCGCGCGCAGGCGGTTCCCGCTACGTCCACTCCGCAGTCTAAACGGGGAGCCAAGGGTAAGAAAGAGGTGGCGGAAGGTTTGGCAACCACCAGCGACGATTTCGGGGTTCCCGTTACCATTGAAGGCGACACTGAGCTCCCGGAGCCCGACGACATCATATCTCGCTTCGCAAAAGGTGTGCGCGTTCCAGCATCTCTAAGCGCAGAGCTCCCCGCATCACTTAGAAAGAACAACTACTTCCCTACACCTAGCATCACGAATCACCTGGGGTAGAGTGCCAGGTTGGGGATGCTGGATGCCCTCCGCATACAGGACGGCTACGAGATCCCAAGCTCTACAATCGAATTTCATAACGTGTAAAGAGTGGCGGCTTCTTTCAACGTTGTTTGTTTTTTTGCAACACTGAGTTCTTATATTACCGCGTTTTTGTCATGCAGGGTTCTTAGCCTTGAGCACCGTAACCTTTACAACGAGAAAACGTGGGTTGCGATGGATAGCCTAGCTTTCCAGTCAATCACATGCGGCCAGTCGGTTGCATGCGGCATCCCCTGCGAGAAAATATTCGAATACGACTACATATGCATCGTTATCTGGAACGAGTAAGCGAGGGGTCTTCTAACGTGCCGTCAACACAGGGCCCGTGTTTCTTGCAGTGGATTGCTCGGACATTGCCTAACCACACATGCCATCTTTATATCTTTTGCCTACCTTGCAGGAAACCACTACCAAGGCATTACAACCTTGTGGTTGTAAAGGACGCAAGCCAGTTGTTGAAAACCGACGAGGAGATTAAGGTCAAAGAAGATGTGGCGCCAACGGCTTTACTATTCGACTCGACAACGTTCCACGTGTCGATGAAGGAGACCATTTTTTCGAACGTCAACTTGTGAGTGTGACTAAGAAGCATAGGCGATGTTGACAAGCCGTTAAAGCGTGTGTATGCTATTTAATGTTTCGGGTTCTTTTTGTACCCTCGTCACCCCATGAGCAGACTTCTCGGTAGAGCCTTGAAGAAAGCTTTGCCCGAACTGTCCGGTGCAGATGTCTACCGCCGCCTCTCACGCATCCACAGCCGGCCTCTGCACGTAAGTTTCGGAAAATTTTAACATCAGCTACAAACTCCAAAGAGGTGCGGGTTTTGTTGATAAGTGTGCCTAACTTACCGTAATTTGGAAAATCCCTTGTTTGTTTGTTTCCCAGCACTCTTAGGTCCCTCAACAGGTGAACAAGGTAGACTGCGGTGTTTACGTCTGCATGTTCATCAAGGAGCTGGTGCACCGCTGTTTCGAGGACATGGATATGGGCATCCAGCCGTCTTACGGCGGGGATCAGTACCGGCGGGACATGTGGAGTTTGGCTTGCCAGGCTGGCCAACGACAACTGCTGGAGAGTTTACGGATCAAGGGTGTGGTTCTCCCGCCGCAACATCAGTCGGACGACGACCGAGACGATGACGTGATAGAGTTGGACGGCGACGTCGAGACAAAGGTGAAGGAATTGGTCGCGTCCGACAACATGCACGGGGCGCAGATCGATAGCGCCCTCAAGGATTTCGAAGACCTGAAGGACCAGCTATTCACATGGGGTACGAGTCACGATGCGCTGTTGGACACTGTGTCACAACTCAAAAAGGGGTTCGAAATGCTAGCGGCTAGAATCGGGTGTGATACGCAGGGTCTGGACCGAACCGACGAGGCTGGTGCATCGGGTGGTGGTGCAGCACGAACGGTCCAACAGCCTAACATCGAGACTGGAGAGGCAGCAGATACGGGAAACATGCCTACATCATTGCCCGCCACTTTCACCTGGCCTGCAGCACAGTGTCACCAGTCCATGTTCACCGGCCGCCTCCTGGACAGTGGGGGAATGTGCAAAACAGGACGTTGCCCACGTCTCGACTGGCCGAGTTGCCGGTGCTGACTCAAGGGGGCTTTGCAACACCAGGGGGGATCACAGCTGTCGCTGCTGCAACAGCAGGGTTGATCCCGGGTGCGGGAGTTCCAACTGCAGGGGGGATCCCGGGTGCGGGAGTCGCAACATCAGGCGGGATTCCTGGTGCGGGCGTGTGAACAGCAGGGTTCCTCCCGGGTGCGGGAGTTGCAACAACAGGCAGGATACCGGGTGCGGGAGTTGCAACGGCGGGCGGGATCTCGGGAGCGTGCGTGTCAACAGCTGGCCCGCGCCCGGGTGTAGGATTTGCACCAGCAAGCGAGATGCCAGGTGCGGGAGTGGCAACAGAAGGCGGGATACCGGGTGCGGGAGTTGCAACGGCAGGCGGGATCCCGGGAGCATGCGTGTCAACAGCTGGCCCGCGCCCGGGTGCGGGAGTCGCACCAGCAAGCGAGAAGCCGGGTGCGGGAGTGGCAACAGCAGGCGGGATACCGGGTGCGGGAGTTGCACCAGCAAGCGAGATGCCGGGTTCGGGAGTTGTTACAGCAGGCGTGATCCCGGGTGCGGGAGTTGCAACAGCGGGGGGGATCCCGGGAGCGTGCGTGTCATTAGCAGGCGGGTGCCCGGGTGCGGGAGTTGCACCAGCAAGCGAGATGCCGGGTGCGGGAGTAGCAACAGCAGGCGGGATCCCGGGTGCGGGAGTTGCAACTGCAAGCGAGATGATGGGTGCGGCCGTTGCAACAGCAGGCGGGATCCCGGGTGCGGGAGTTTTACCAGATGGCAGGATCCCAGGTGTGGGAGTTGCTTCAGCAGGCGGGATCCCGGTTGCAGGAGTTGCAACATCAGGGTTGCTCCCGGGTGTGGGAGTTGCAACAGAAGGCGTGATCCCGGGTGTCGGCGTGTCAATAGCAGGCGGGCGCGAGGGTGAGGGAGTTGCAACAGCTGGCGGGATGCCGGTTGCGGGAGTGGCGACAGCATCGAGCAACCCACCTGCCGTTGTTGCAACAGCATTGGGGTTCCCAGCTAGCATAGTAGTAATTCCTGTAGGTGCAACCAGGGTAGCGTAATGACGGGACGTCAATAACTCAAATTCTACTCGGACCTTTGCCTTGACGAATTTCCACGGGAACATGCGGCCCACAACGAGGGTCGACGCCAAATGGCAGTCGCGCATAGGACTGCCCAATGACGTCGTTTATGTCGAATGAGAGCCGGGTTGGGTTGATAAGTCGCCACTAGGGCAGATTTGCGGCGGGGTGCATGCAGCTCACAGCACCAGGAAGTGTACATACGCTTCATTGCATTTTGGCGCATCTTGCAGATTCGAGTCCACTATAGCATTTAGAGTTATCATTCTGTGTACACATTACTGATGGCAATCACCATCCTCAACCCATTACACACTCTTGTAAAGCATGCAGTTGAGAATTGGAAGAAATGCAAACATAATGTTCAGAAGATTGTCAAGTATGAGGACCCAGCACAGCAGAGCACCAGCAACGGTACATACGCAATAATTGCATTCTGGCGCATCTTGCAGATACGGTACATTCCCTTATTACAGCGAAGTTTCTGACGTGCGGCGCGGGAACCCGTTTCAAACCAGTTCCCGCTCTTTTCAGTTCAAATGCATCAGCCTGCATCGGTCTTGATCTGACGGTCGCTGGTGTCGCTTCGACTGTTCTGACTCCTCGACTTCGTACTCGGTAGAGTCGCCTCCTGCAGCATACATGAATGCTTCTCTCATTCAGCGCCATTGTAACAATAATGAAGCAGCGCGTCTTCATTAGTACTGCAATAGCTCATATAGAGCATGTGGAAGATCGAGAGTCACCCGAAGGTCAACTGTCGAAGACAATCAACGGTTGTGACTCTTGACCGTCCAGTAACCGCACTTGGTAGTTACGCGATGCAACATGGTAACTTTCAAGAATAGTATGGTCGTGGTTACTGTAGCAATGCGATTTTGTTAATAACGGAATGTACCCCTCATAATACATGGCTTGCTTGTTTGCTATTTATACATTGTACAACTATCTTATAATCATCGTGTTCTCTTTCAACTTTATTAACAAGGTTACTACCAAGTCTTGAATGTCTTCTCTCAATTTTGCAGACTCGTCCTGTCCACTTCGATCCTTCAGTTATAACAACAAACTCCTTTCACACTTTTGTAAAACAAGTATTTGAGATTTGAAGATATTACAAACATAATTTACAGTATTCGCCCGTCACAACGTGTTTACTGTCAAACATATATTCTATAGTCTGTGTAGGCTGTAGTGGGGTAGTTCCTATGGGGTACAACATTTTAGGGTTTCCTACTTGTACTCCTCATGCTGCTCAATGCAATCAATCCTCGTTCTATTCTACACATGGTTTCAGAGCAGGTTCCCTAGTGGGAACGATTTTTTTTTAGGGCCCACCACTGAAAATTTCCTACCTGCTCGAAGCGCGCTGTCGCGCCTGCCTCACCTGCGCCGTCGCGCGCCCTGCCCTGCTGTCGTGCTAGTCGCGACCCTGCCTTAGCCGCCCGTCGCGGCCCTGCCTTGTCGCCGCCCGTCGCGGCCTGATCCGCCGCCCGTCGCGGCCCTGCTTTGCCGCCCGTCGCGGCCCTTCCCTGCCGCCCTACGTCGCGGCCCTGCCCTGCCGCCCTACGTCGCGGCCCTGCCCTGCAGCCGCTGTCGCGGCCCCTGACCTGCAGCCGCTGTCGCGGCCCTCCCGTCTCCGCCGACGCGTCTGCTGCCACCGTCGCGGCCCCGCCGTCGCGTCCTGCCCTGCAGCCGCCGTCGCGCCTGCAGCACCCGTCGCGGCCCTGCCTTGCCGCCGTCACGCCTGCAGCCGCCGTCGCGGCCTCACCGTCGCGGCCGACGCAGTCGCCGCCGTTGCGGCCCCGCCGTCGCGCCTGCCCTGCTCGCCCCTGGTGAGCACCTGCCCTACGCGCGCTACCCGCGCTACCTGCAGGCCGAGCCGCGCCGCTCCTCCGAGCCGCGCCGCCCAGCCGAGCCGCGCCGCCCAGCTGAGCCGCTCCGCCCAGCCGAGCCGCGCCGCTCCGCCGAGCCGCGCCGCCCAGCCGAGCCGCGCCGCCTACTGAGCCGCGCTGCCGTGCCCGCGCTGCTCCTGCTCCTTCTGATGCTTCTGCTGCTACTGCTGCTACTGTCGCTATGGCTAGCCCTACAGTTCTTACCTTCGATGCTGAGGGTCGTGCCATTGACTTCAATGTCTGGGTTGATGATCTGCAGCTGTTTCTTCAGTGCGATAGTAAGGACGGTATCTCTCTTTTTTATCTCACGTCCGGCGCCTCTACTGCGCCTGCTGCCGATGCTGCCAGTACAGTTCGCTCGCAGTGGACTACTCGTGACGCTGTTGCTCGCCTTGCTGTTCGTAGTCACCTGCCTTCTGCTGAGCGCGCGCACTTTGGTCAGTACAAGACTGCTAAGTCTCTGTATGACGCTGTTTTAGCGCGCTACTCCTCCCCTGCCACTGCTACTCTCAGCCGCCTCATGCTACCGTACCTGTTCTTTGACCTGGCCACCTTTGCTACAGTCGCTGACCTCATTACCCACCTCCGCACTAGTGACGCCCGCTACCGCGCTGCCCTTCCCTCTGAGTTCTGCGCCAAGAACCCCCCCCCCATGTACATCACTCTCTTCTACCTAGTCACCCGTCTCCCTGACTCCCTCTCTTCAGTCAGGGACCACTTTCTCTCCCTTTGCCCCACCGAGCTCACCGTTGACCTGCTGGAGGAGCGCCTCACTGCAGCTGAGAAGAGTATAGTTGCTGTAGGTGCTTCTCGCGGCGACCCTCGCGCCCCTTTCTTTGAGGGGTGTTCCCCCGTTCCCCTTCTGCCCTCTGTTGCTTCTGCTGCTGCTGTCGACCTCGTTGGCACCGAGCAGGTCGGGGCTGCGTCTGCTCCTAGTGACAGGCGCCGCAGCGGCAAGGGCAAGGGGGGCAAGGGTGGTGGAGGGGACGGCGGGGGCGGCGGGGGCGGCGGTGGAGAAGGCGGAGGGGGTGGGGGTGGAGGCAGGGGTGGTGGCGGGGGTGGAGGTGTCGGTGGTGGCGGTGGAGGTGGTGGAGGCAGCGGCAGCGGTGGTGGAGGCAGCGGCAGTGGTGGTGGAGGCGGTGGCAGCGGAGCTGGAGGTGGCGGCGGCGGTGGTGCTGGTCGGGGTGGAGCTGCGCAGCGTGGAGGCTTCGGCGGTCGCCAGCGCCAGCAGCAGCAGCTTTCCCGTGAGACCCCGTCGCCTCAGCAGCTTCGTGAGTGGTACGCTGGGCGTGGGAGGTCTGGGGGTGCTGGTCCCTGCACTTACGTTCTCCGCACCGGCGGTCGCCGTGGGGAGACGTGCGGAGGGCCACACACGTCGCAGCGTTGTTTCGGTCGCCTGTCTGACGCCTGGCGCGTGCAGTTTCCTGACGCTCCTGAGCTCCCTAGCTGGGCTGATCTGCTTAGGCAGAATGTTGATATCTTTGCTCTAGACTTTGATGCTATCCTTGCTGCCATGTATGCTGTGTCTACTAGTGCTGAGGGTGACTGTTACCTGTGTGTGCCGCCCGACCCAGGTATAGAGTCTACTGCTCTAGGTGCTGGTGAGGCTGCTGCTCTAGGTGCTAGTGAGTCTGCTAATCCAGGTGCTGGTGAGTCTGCTCTCTCTGGTACTGCGCCTGCTGAGGCCTTACACACCTTCACACTTGACTCAGGTGCTTCCCGCTCCTTCTTTCGCGACAGCACCACACTCACGCCGCTCAGTCGGCCAGTTGCAGTCTCCCTGGCGGACCCCTCTGGGGGCCCCGTCCTTGCGCACTCCTCCACAGTCCTGCCGTGTCCGGCAGTCCCGTCTGGCTTACTGTCGGGTCTCCACCTCCCCTCGTTCTCTACGAACTTGGTGAGTGGAGCTGACCTCCAGGATGTGTGGGTTGACCAGTTCACCCCTGGAGGTCAGCGTGTGACCCACTGTACGTGCTCCCGGACAGGTCGACACCTGGCCACGTTCACCCAAGCGCCTGGCTCGAGTCTGTACACACTGTCCACTGTGTCCCCTCAGGTAGCTGCGTCTGCGTCTGCGTTTGCGTCAGGTCAGCTAGCGGCCCCCTGCTCGTGTCGCGCTTTGTCGCACCAGACTGTCCTTTGGCACCACCGTCTTGGTCACCCCTCGGTGCAGCGCCTTCGTGGCATGCACCGACGTCTCCTTGTCTCTGGACTTCCAGAGACTCTGCCTCCTCTTCCTCCCTCGCCTGCCCCTCCCTGCCTTCCCTGTGTCGAGGGGCGGCAGCGCGCCGATCCTCACTCCTCCTCTTTCCCCCCGACGACTGCTCCCCTGCAGACCCTGCACATGGACGTGTGGGGCCCAGCCCGCGTCCATGGACAGGACCGCAAGCGGTACTTCTTGCTGGTCGTCGACGACTACACGCGTTACACCACGGTCTTCCCCTTGCGCACCAAGGGTGAGGTCCCTGATGTTTTGATCCCTTGGATCCGTGCTTCTCGTCTCCAGCTCCGCGAGCGGTTTGAGACGGACTTTCCCGTCCTGCGTCTGCACTCTGACAGAGGTGGTGAGTTTGCCTCTGACTTTCTGCGGGACTTTTGTCGTGGGGAGGGCATTCGCCAGACCTTCACGCTCCCGGCCTAACCGCAGCAGAATGGGGTTGCTGAGCGCCGCATTGGCTTGGTCATGGAGGTCGCTCGTACCTCCATGGTCCATGCGGCTGCCCCCCATTTTCTGTGGCCGTTTGCGGTCCGATACGCTGCGCATCAGCTCAACCTCTGGCCCCGTGTCTCGTTGCCGGAGACCTCGCCCACACTCCGGTGGACGGGGAAGGTTGGCGATGCGTCGGTGTTCCGGGTCTGGGGTTCTCGTGCCTTTGTCCGCGATACATCCGCGGACAAGCTCTCTGCCCGTGCTATTCCCTGCGTCTTCCTTGGCTTTGTTCCTGACGTGCCTGGCTGGCAGTTTTACCACCCCACCTCGCGCCGTGCCCTCCCCTCTCAGGACGTCACGTTCGACGAGTCGGTTCCTTTTTACCGCCTCTTACCCTACCGCACTGCTTCTCTCCCCCCCCCGTCGCTCTTCCT